AAGGCAGGTAGTTTTCGGAAAAACTTGCCCAGTCTAGACCCAGCCTAAGGCTATGTCTACACTTGAGGCTTCATGCGTAATATGCAAATGAGGCTAAGCGTGGAATATCGCCCAGACTCATTTGCATACCTAATGAGCCACTTTTTTTTTTTTTCAGAAGAGGTTCTTGTGCAAGAAAGAACATCTACACTGCCCCAAACGCCCTTGTGCAATGCCGTTCTTCCTGAAAAGTAATAGGTGTAACGGCATTGTGCAAGAGGGTTTTTCTTGCGTAAGAAGGGGCAGTGTAGATGCTCCTTCTTGCACAAGAGCCTCTTCTGAAAAAAAAAAAAAGTGGCTCATTAGGTATGCAAATGAGGCTCGGTGATATTCCATGCTTAGCCTCATTTGCATATTACTGGTGCAAGAAGCCGTGAGTGTAGACATAGCCTGAGTGTTGGTATGAAAATAAGCGGCATCTGCCCTGCTCCAGCCTTCGGAGGCCAAGTTTTGGCTTCCTTTGGTGGCAAAGGACCAGTGCATTAATGAGGGTGACTTACCTCGCAAGAGTGCTCGAAAGTCCCCACCAGATCAAGGCCCGGGGATGCGGGTGCAAGACAAACAGGCACGGACAGACCCTGCCCACGCTGCTCACTGTCTGTGCTGCTCCTGTGCTAGAACACAAAAGTGCGGCCTAGTTCCGCCACATACTCCCAGCTCCCTGGGGAATCCGACATTCAGCAAGGCAGGGGCTAGGCTATTCCAGGCAGCCTTACACCAATGTCAGGACAGCAGACTTCCTCTGCCCGGTTAAGACGTTTTCTCAGCTATGCTTACTCAGCTTGTCAGCTCTCTGGGGGAAGGACTTTTTATTTGTGCAGCACCAAGCACACGGGGCCCTTGGTCCTTAACCATGGCACAGTGATCCTGCAGGGCTGAGGCAGGAGAGGCAGCTGGACCTGTGCCTGACCTGGCTTTACACCCGGTTCCTAGCGGCTCCCAGGGACCCAGTCCCACCAGCGCTGCTGAGTGGAGGCGCAAAGTCCTCTGCAGCTGTGACCACCAAGGAGGGGGACCCCAGGACTCTGTCTCAGCACCATGAAGCCTAAGCACCAGAGCCCCCAGGGCAGCTCCCTGTTGTGGGCACTGCAGGCTCCAGGGCACCGAGCTGCTTGGGTTTGGCCCAGCTGGCCACGCCACAGGGGAGTGGTGCAGTGGCCCACACGCCCAGGGTTGGCCCCCGAGAGGGGCAGGGCCACACCTGAGTGGTGCCACGACGCTGGAAGTCACAAGCCTGGGAGCCGGGCCTAGCCAGCCCCATGGAACAGGAGCTGCTGCTGCCGAGGAGTGTGGGGGAGCTCTGCCCATCCCCCATAGGTCCTCCGGGAGCAGCTCTTACTGTCCCCACCCCAGCCTGCTTCCTGGGCTGAGCCAATTTGGTAACACGGCTCTGGCCACCAGGGCTTGGGAGTGGTGATCCGGGAGCAGCCTCCCCAGGCTGTAAAGGCAGCACTGGGCTGGGTTCCCTAGGGCGGGGGTGGAATTTCCATCCCTAGAGGTGTTTAAGTCCCAGCTTGACAAAGCCCTGGCTGGGATGATTGAGTCGGGGTTGGTCCTGCTGTGGGCAGGGGAGGACAGGTGGCTCGCCAGAGCAGGCACATGAGGAGAACCAGCTTAAAAACCGGTTCCACACTCATATTGGTTCCCACCTGTCACCTCCACCCCTTGCGTGGCTGCCTCTGATAGCGAGGCAGCAGCGGAGGGGTGGGGGGGG